CCCCCCCCCAAAAGATACCTATAGGAAAACTGCAGGTAGAACATGAGGTCAAGGCTATGTCTTGACATTTCATCACAACAATATCCCATTATCTCTGAACCTGTAGACAGCATACAGTATAGCCATTATGGCTACCAGTTACTCGGGCTTTCAATTATTTTGTTTAACCCTCTCTGAAAGTAATCTACGTGTTACATTCCATAGTTAATTATACATGTGTAAAGAAGTACTTTCTTTTCTCTGTCCTGAAATTCCTGAGGATCCCTTCTGTTGGTTACTCCTATCCTATATTCCAGCATTAAGAGTCTCTAAGCACTTTGCCTTGGCAACAAAGTAGTATACAAAACATACCCAGAAGCTATAAATATTCAGAAATTCTCAAGCCAAAATTTGCTCAGATAAAATCACAACAGGCCAGACTTTCCATACCTACAAACTTAAACCAGGAAGTTGGGAGAGCAAGCACCAGCTATTATGACAAACTGCATTGTCTCTTGCCAAGGCGATTGTTATTGTTGTTATTATTACAATTTTATGCTGTCTTTTTAATGTATAACTCAAGGCGGAAAACATGCCTAATACTCCTGCCCCTATTTTTCCCCACAACAACAACCCTGTGAGGTGGGTTGGGCTGAGAGAGAGAGTGATTGGCCCACAGTCACCCAGCCGGCTTTCATGCCTAAAGAAAGCCCAGAACGCTCAGCATTCTGGTTTCTAGGTCAGGGCCTTCACCAGTATATCAAACTGGCTCTCTGGGGTTCAAGCGTCTAGACCCAGATTTCCATCTGGTCGACCTAGGGGTCAGCAGGGAGGGGGAAGAGAGCACTCACATCGACCTCAGGCCTATTTCTACCTGTCACTCTTGCCCGCTGTCTGAGGCTCACCGACAAGGAAGTGGCCGCCTTCTGCTCCTCGCCCTGCGGCCCAAGCAGCAGCAACATCCCTGGCTGCAGAGCGCGCCCCACACACCACACTCCCAGACCCTTCTCCGAGGACAGAGAAGGTCCCACGGCCAGCCCCCGAGGAAGGTGCCACGCCGGGCAAAAGGGCCAACTGCCGTGCATATCCAGAGGGTGACCTGCAATAAAAACGAAACGAAAGGACGATCAGCGCAGGGAGCTACACTCCCACACAGTCCACAAACAGCCCAGCTCTTTGGCCGTGCTCCCCTCCATGACGAGGGAACGCCCGTTTAGGAAGCGGAACGATCAACTCCACGAGCCTCGGTTTCACCCGGGCAAATATTTCTTTCCCACGCCAGACGTCGAAAGCAGGCGGAAAGGAGTTTCCATGGAAACGAATTCGTTTTCCGGTTCAGAGTCGGATGTTTGCGAAGGTGTTTGACAGGCGGGAGCGGCTGTTGGCGAGCGAAGAGAGCGCTGGCGCTCAGTACCGAACGCGCGTGGTCAGAGTCGGAAGTGGAGGGCTTTTCCTACATGAGACGAATCGCCGATTCGAGCGCACGCACCCATTTCGAGGTAATCGGTTTGTGAGGGCTTGCGTTGCGGGAAGAGGCTCCTTTGCGGAGGGAATATTCCTGCTTCGTCGGGGAAGAGGCTCTTCGGTCAGAGTTTAGGAGGGCGCGTGCTTTGGAGCTGCCTGGCCGGAGTCCAAGGCACAGAGCCACTGCGTTGAACTTCTGCCTTTATTCTCCACCCTGTCTCTGTGTGTCACTGCGCCTAGGTGCAGAGGTCCCCTCCATTCTGTTTTGGGCAATTCCTTTCTTCTTCAGTATATCTTATTTTATTTAGAAAGATTCCCCAGCCTTCTGTAGGGGTTTCACTGAGAGGTGCAGGTGGAAACGTTTCTTCTATCAACTTCCTTATGTTAACTTACTTTACAGTACAGAGCATTGTTTCTAAAGGAGCAATCCTGCTTCTGCTATTGCAGAAATGAGAACTTCTCAGTAAGCACAGCCATCATTTGCTTAACCATATTTTGTTACATAAACCACGATTGGCTGAGTTTGACATTGTTTTAAGTCATAAACCATGGCTAATACAACCACAGAGCCTGGATTCACACAATATGGTACGCAAAACCGAACATTATGGCTTAGTGCAATGTGTGATCTCAGTCATAGATTTGTATTACGTGGACTGTTTAGAAGGAGACTTATTTTAAATACAGTACAACAACATTGTAGTAAGGAAGGGAGAAGTTGCTAGAACTACCTTGTTTATGCAATTTATAGGGTTTGAATCTAGTAATCCTGACTGTATGCATTGTCTTAATATTAGTTTGTACTGATCAGCTTGATGCTGTAATAGAGGCAACTTTATTCTGCTTTGATCTTGTCAGTTACAGGGCTCCCAGATCTTTGACAGAAAGTGGAAATTGTATAGGTGTATAGATAGATGTCTTAAAGAAGTAATCTATATGTGGAGAGAGTTGGGCAGAGAGATTCAGTAACAAACAAAACTGCATAGAGTACAGTATGGCAGAATTTGTTTGATGATTTTGAAGGAGGGTTCCTTTTAAGTGAGTGTTCTACCTGACTTCTGAAGATTTTTATGCTGGATATTCATTTTTATGGCAGTGTTTGCCTTGAAATAACAGTCAGAAGAAAGTAGAAGTGTACTGTTGCTGAAATTCTTTCAAGTGCATTGGATTTGCAGGGGGAAAAAAAGAAAAATGGAAGACCAGGAATGATTTAGGGTTAGTGGTAGGCATACAAGTTACAAATGTGATGTGATTTTTTTTTTCAGTTGCTGGATTTGCTGTAGTATCACCAGAATCAAAGCATAGCTTGAGCCAGTAGAATTGTTCAACAAGCTCAGGGAAGTTATGTTCTGGCAGGAAAGGTGTGGTGTTTTTCAAACTATAATCTGATTCAGCAGATTGGATCATACAGTCAGTGGATCTTGTTTGATTTAAGCTGAAAGCTGTGAGAGAGGGGGATCATCCTGGGTTAACTTTTTTTTGCTTTTTTTTCTTGAATTAGACTGTATTGCTGGTTGGGCAAGCTAAATGCCTATTTTTCTTTAGTATGTCAACTATTGCTGCAAGATTTCAGTGGATTTTATTATAATGGCAATGCTGGAGGAGCAAACAAATATATATTACTCTATTTTATTGATTCGCTAGGCCTATTGAATACAGGAAATAAAAAGAAATCTGCTTTCTTGATGAGCTAAAGACATAAATGAATTTATGAACACCAGCAGTTAAAATATAATTTCTTGAGCTCCCATTCCCACATATACATGCTTAATGATATCAAAGGGTAACATTAGTTTAAGGAAGTTTTTGTGGCAAGATGTATATGTATGGAATACAAAGTACTACATGTATGGGTATAGTTTCTCTAAGATTTGTTAGAGTGCCTATATAAAACTGAAAAGGAAAGATGATAGTAACAATTTTACCTGTTTTGCTAAATGATCAGATGATGTTTCATGCCTAGTTTCTTTCCTAATTGTTCTATTATTTTTCTTTGTTAACTTTAGATAGAAACTATGTATATTATTCCTTGCCTCAGTGTATAAACAGTTATAGGGTGATTTTGAAGTATTAAAATTAAAATAAAACATATTTTTACAATCATTTGGAAAAAAATAAAAGAGAAGCAGTTTGGGGCAGTGAATATCTAAAATTAATTGCCTTTTCTTTTCAGCTAATTATAACTGTATGTTTTCTTATAGTCTCTTTTAAATAAGATAAGTCTAAAAAGAGGGGTAATGGTTGCTGGAATAAGTACAGGTAGCCCTCGCTTAACGACCACTCATTCAGTGACCTTTTGAAGTTACGTCAGCACCGAATGAGTGGTGGTTATGACTGGTCCTTGAACTTCCAGCCATCCCAGCACCTTCACGGTCACTTGATTGCTTGACAACCAGCTCGTACTTACAATGGTTGCAGCATCCTGTGGTCATGTGATCACAATTTGTGACTTTCCCTGCCTGCTTCCCACAAACAAAGTCAATAGGGAAGCTGGCAGGGAAGATCAGAAGTTGTGTGGGTAAGTCTCCCCCACCCGTGCACCCTTCCTGAGCCTCACTGTGCTTGTGCTGTGCCTCCCCAGCCACTTGCACACCCTCCCCCACCCGGCAGCAGTCACTTACCTGCCTGCTGGTCTGCTTGCAAGCCACCTGGGACTTGCAACTTCCTGCTGGCTTCCCTACTGACTTTGGTTGTTGGAAGCTGGCAGGAAGTTGCAAGGAGATGCTCACTTAGGAACCCATGTTCCTCACTTAACAACGGCAAGGGGGGACTGCAAGGATTGCCTTCACTAAGCAATGTGGTTACGTGACATCACGCTTTACAACTACATCACTTAGTGATGAAAATTCCAGTCCCAATTGCTGTCGTAACTCAAGGATTGCCTGTATAGAATAGAGTAGGTAATTTGATGCCTCTTGGACCATCTCCCATCTTACCATGCCAACACTGGAAGTGGCAGATATCTCTAATATAAAGATATATGCCCTAGATGGTGTTTACATGTTTAGTAATCTACAAGGTGTTGTAGGTTGTTTCAGCAAAGCATAAGTTAGAATATATGTTTAGGTAAAAAATTCAACAAATGAGTGTCCTTTACAGATGCTGTTTATGTACATAGCCACCCATGATTTGGTGCTATGAGAAAAAGGCAAATATAAACCTTGATTTGTATATTTAGATCCAGAAAAGTAGTTTGATAACTTCCAGCCCTTGGTTTCAACAATCACTTTAGAGAAAGGGCAGAGAATATGCTCCTCGGGGTTTGTTTTTATAATGTCAACCAGTAGTTGGTCTTGAAATAAGTAGCAGAAATCTCTAGTGATGTTTAATATTTGAGGCAAGAACACAGCAAATTAAGTATGTTTCATATTTTAAGGAGATTGGATTATATTTGGATCCAAGTGCTGAATTTTGTAAATTGGAAGTATTTTGTTTAACCATGGATGAAATGTTTTCTAAGTAGTAATAGGGGAGTAATATGGCCAGGAACATCAAAGACTTTAATGTATTTGTACTATGTTTATCTTCAAATGGAGTAGAGATATAGTTTAAAAATCTAGTAATATTGCAAAACATATTTATGCATTAATTTGACTTTCTGTGCAAAGTATGAACTGCCTCAGTGAAAAGTATTTTTGAGATTTATATGAAACTTTTCTCTCTAATATTTGTGTTGGTCATTTCATCTGTGATGATTTAACAACATACTGGAACACTACCACGGATCAAATACTACTTGCATATATTTATATTACAGGTTTGTGAATGATATTAGGGGAACATCTACTGTTTACTGTCTATATTTCAGAGAAAACATAGGATATAAATGCAACATATAAACTAATGGTGTGGTAATTAGTAAGTACTGTACTCTCTGCTCATGTTGTATGAGAAAATTGGAATAACTTACTATAAGCAAGTAGGGGATTGTTTTTATGTTAATGCCAGGGAGTTTTTTTATTGGATAAATTTAGATAATTATGAGAATATGCTGCTGGAGTTGTTTTGAAGGGAATGAGTCACCTCAAATGGTGGTTAAGGTTTCCATAGAAACTGAGGATATTGCTAAAGACAGATGGTTGGTTGCAATTTAAGCATGTTTCTAGCATTAGCTAATAATTCAAAATGTCCTGCTCTTTGTCCCCTTTGCAGCTACTCCACTCCTTGAGAGAGGAGCAAACCATAGCTGAGGTTAACTTTGCAGATTTGCCAGGCCATTAATACTTCCTGCCAATATATTGTATTTTGTTTGGTTGTAGACTTCCTGCACAATAATTTTACAGCCATCTGAAGTGTAAGGACAATGACAGACTACACATTTTGATACAAATATAATATAATATATATTAATATATATTAGCTGTATAATATATAGCAAATTCCCTTCAGTGCCCTCAAGGATTCACTGAAATTATGGCATAATGCTGAGGCATGCTTTAAGACATGGTGGTATTTTTGCTGCTGCTGTCTTTATGGAACTGATAACGTTAATTTCTGATATTAGATATAGCCCTGCTTTGATCCATTGTTTTTTAAAAAACATTTTACTTCAGAGTTGATATATTGTTTGTGTTGTTTTTAAGGATCCTCTAACACTTTTAATATCATGATAGATGGGTTATCTTCCTCTGCCTCTTGAGATGGATAATTTCCCTCTCTAGTAGCCTCACATATACAGTTATTAACTTTCAATCAGTTGTGGTGCTGACTGTAGTCATGAATGTATTGAATGTTGTAGTGAAGATCCAAAATGCAGAAATTATGTCCAAGTTCAAGAGAATAATAATTCCTTATGGTGAAGTTCCTTAACTATTGAACTAATAACCGAACATTCAAATTCTACACTTCTCCTTCATTGTATGCTTTTCTTATAAAATATTGCCCTAGAATCTAATCTATTTGCTATAATGGTAGGAATGCAGAATGTGTCTCAGGTTTTTGTCTCTAGTGATATGAAGATTTCTTTTATGACTATGTCATAAAAGTTTGATTGGCCAGTATAGGAAATGATAAACCCATTTCCCATCGGACTTAGATCCACAATATCAAACCACAGTGTTGGTTCATTAGATTTTGTCTAGCGGTGTGTAAAGCATTTCAGTTTTATTTATTGACAAATTTATTATTATTTATTTATTAATAGGTGTATGTATGTGCTACCCACTAAGTGGATTACAATATACAATCTAAAAAAATGCAACAATTAACATGGAAACCCATTACTATCTAATTAAAATGTTCCTGACTAAATGGACTTTGCATTGCATTGAATCTTTGCAAGACAGAATTATTATTGGGACAAAATCCTCTGATTCATTTGATGCTCTAGCTATTGCTCTAAATGAGGTCACACTGCTTCTAAAGGAGCTGGTACACAGTTTGGAGGTTCTTCTGGCTTCACAACTGTTCTAGAGAACAGTTTTCAAAAAGATAGGGTGGAGGCAAATGTGGTCTCTAGGACATGCGATTCCATGGAGAGGGGGCTGTCTCTGGGTCCCACCTCCACTGATCTCCTGAAAAGTGGATACACAAAACACCATATCTGGCCTAGATTGTGTAGGCCAGGCAGATTCTACTGGGAGGAGATGGTTCTGGAGGTAACAAGGGCCCAAGCTTTATGGGTAACTATCAGCACCTTGAATTAGAAACTTACTGGCAACAAGTGCTGGTCTCACAAAATAAATGTTATTCTGTTGAACTAGCTAGTGCTGGGCATTCTGTGCCAATTGCATTTCCAAATTGTGTTCAAGAATACCTCATGTAAAATGAATTACAGTAATCTAGATCAGTATCTAGATGAGAGGTGACAAGGGCATGTCACTTCTTCAGTGCCTCCTGGTACATGAAGGAGCACAACTGAAGCTGGCCATAGGCTTTCCTGGCTTCAATTTTTACTTGCTGTTCCAGCAGGAGTTGTGAAGCCAGAAGAACCTCCAAACTGTGTATTAGCTCCTTTAGAAGCAGTGTGACCTCATTTGGAGCAATAGATAGAGCATCAAATGAATCAGAGGATTTTGTCCCAATAGTAATTCTGTCTTACAAAGATTCAATCTTAGTCTATTTTGCTATACCCAGTCCCTCACAGCCTACTGACACCAGGTTTAGATTTCCACAGCAACTCCTGATTGGCCTGAGCTAGATATTAAAGCTTTGTATCATCAAAGCTTTGTATCATCAAACCCTAAACCAATAGATTATCTCCCCCAATAGTTTCATGTAGATGTTAAACAGATGGGAGAGAGGCTGAGCCCTGGGGACCCCATATTCTAGTTTGAAACAGTTGTTTCAAATGCAAAATTGCTGTTTTGACCTGCACACCTAAATAAGGTACTTCACTAAATAATTTGCACAGGTCTAAGAGGTATAATCTATTGCCTTTCCCTGCCACTTTTGTTATGAAGGGAAAGCAATTATATTGGCACAGGAGGGATAATGGAAAGAAATGCAATTGCAATCCCAACATTGTTATCTGTGCTCCCCTCTCAAGTTAGATATGAATGAAAGGTCTGTCACATCTATGACTAAATTTAAAGGAGGAAACTGGGAAATGCCAGTGAAAATTGTGAGGTGTTTCTTTGCTGATCTGTAAATTTTTGACGCTTCTTTTCAGATAATCTGTTGAGCATTGAAGCATGGAGCAATACCCAGATTTACAAGAAGACCTGAGTCTGGAAGACACTAGTGAATCTCTCAATCAGCTCAAATTGGCTTCTCTAGATGATAAAAATTGGCCATCAGATGAAGAGCCTGTTTTCCCAAAGTCAGGTAAGTGTTTCTGTTAATAAAACAATGGCAGGGGGTGGCAGCCACATTTTAAGGAATCCATACTCTGAAAATATTGCCCATCTGCAACTTGTTAAAGTAATTGTGTCTTTCTCTGGGAGACCCCAATTGTCCTCCATAGCTGTAGTACAGTCCCAGGAAAAGATTGCCAGCTAGTGAATACTCTGAAGTACTTGTCTGCCTTTGAATTCAAAATGTTGCACAACCCTGTTCTGCAGCATTAATCTTCGATTCCTTTAAGATATTGCAGGAGAGTTTGCTTGGTATCTTGAATCTAAATTGCAATGCAGAACTGACATGTCCATCAGCAGATAAGAACTGAAATACCACTGGCTGTATATAGCAAAGAAATACCTGTTCAGTATATATATCAGTGCAGTTGATTATAGCTGATGAATTTGGAATTTGTGGTAGAAGATTTTAAGTCTTTTATTTCCTCCCATTAATAGTGTCTACATAAAGCAGATAAACTGATAAATATGCTTGAACAATTAGTCTTAATGTATGCACTTGTCTGTTTTGAAATACCAAATGAACAAAATAAATGTTATTCATCTGTACCACACCACACCTGAATAAAGGTGTAGAGGTACAGAGAAATGAATCAGTGCTATCATACTGATGATGCACATATTCATTTCTCTGTACTTCTGAGCCCTTATTTAGGTAAGTTTCACTTTAAGTTATATTTTTTCCTTTTTTTTAATTTGCACATGTATAGATGATACCAAGAGCTCCCCTGATTCTGTCACACACCTGCGGTGGGATGATCCATACTATGACATTGCTAGGCACCAGATTGTGGAAGTAGCAGGTAATATTTTGTTATAGTATAATGATTTGAAATAATAAAAAAATAATCTATTTGTAACAACTGGCAATGGTCAAATAATAATTCTGTTCTCATAAAAGTTTCTCTTAATACCTTCTCTAGGAAATAATTGAAACTTGCAAAGAATGGAAATAATTTAAATTATTTAAGAACATAGGTTGCAATCCAAAGTCTTTGATAGTGCTTTGATGATCTGTCATAAAAAACAATACCTCCCTCAAACTGACCTGCTGACTAAATGAATATATCCATGTTGTTTTCTTGACAACAATAGAGAACTGGTTTGCTATTGTCTATTTCCAGGATATTTAACTTTCCTTTCAGTTCACAGAGCTTGGATTTTCTGGTGGACTCCCAGCCTTAAAATGGCTTTTTGACATTTCTACATTATTTATTATAACTATATAATAGAAATAATTTCCAGCAGGATAGTTGTTTAAAAAACTAAAATGAGAACAGCAGTACCAAAAAGTTATAGAAATTATTATAGAAGATAGTTTCAAAATGATTTAATATATTTTGAGCTTTGTGGCTTTTTGCAGGATTTTTTCCTCTTTTCCTTCTTTTTGAAGGAAGAGAAGTTTTCTCTCATTCATTGTGGCAGAGGGACAGTGACCTCTTCCTTATTACTGGAAAAGGCCCTTAGGAAGCAGCAGTTAGATGAAATCTGCTTTTTAATATAAACACCAGAATATGTTGGTGTTTTGAGGGGTTTACTAATTTCATATTTTTATATAACATTTACCAGACAATTATTGTTACAGGTGATTTGATCAAAATTTCCATATATTCCTAATTTTTCTGAGCCATAGCAAGCATTTTAATTCTCAGACTAAATCATTGCTTACCCAGGTTATATGCCTAGTTTCCCTGTGGATCATCTGAAAAAGAGTCAAACCACTGTTCAAAATCCTGGCTCTGTAGACTTGCAAAGAAACAGTTAAGCCCTTTGCTGTTTCACTGATAGCTAGACTGCAGAGCTGACATTTCTGTTTTCTGCTATGTAGCTGCTTTACATATAGTTCTAAATTTAGTAATTGTCTGAATTGCATGCAGACATGATTGTCTAATGAGAAGAATGTGATATGTTAATGATTATTGGGAATGATGTCCTGAAACTGAAAGACTGGACATTGTTTTCTACCTGTACTTAGCATTAATACTAACCATAATGCCAAATGTTGCATACATGCTAGCAGATTCTCCTAGTGACTAAGGAACAGAAATGAAGACTGGGTTATTTCTAGAAAGTAAATGATAAATAAGGAGGAAATGTCAGATATGTGGATAAATGCAATTGCTATGATATCCCTGGATAGCTTTTGGACACATCTGCATAGAGTTCTTCTTTGTTAGTCATAATTGTTTTGAATTTTCAAACTGCAATTGTCTAGAGCTTCTCTGTCCATTAGGCACTTTGAAATCATAGAATAATTCAAGGAATGCTCCAGAGAAAAATATATTTAAATAGCTTTTATGTATAGTTTTATAGTGTCTGTTTCTGAGAGATCTTCAGCATGGGAGGTATCTTCTTTCTCTATGCAAATATGATTGGGATGCCTTTCTGTTCTCTGGGATAGTAACTAGATATTGAACAATTCCATGAAACAAAGGTCTCCACTGTTAAGTTATTAGATGGGTCTAAACAAAAGATAACTGTGGTACATATTGTGTTCAAACACATTAGAATAGCTCTATTGCTGACATCCTCAGATTTCTACCATTTGACAGAATGCATGAATGAGGTACAGCGAAACACTGATATGTTCCAGAAACACTGTGCATGTATATATTGTAGGAAGTTAAGGATGTTCATATATTCTGTGCTACTAATATAATGTAATTATTTCTTTGTTGATGTTAATTTTATTTTATTTCTCTGTACTGTTTTCCGTTGTAAATAGCATATTGTAGTTTAGAAGGAGATTCGTTTATTGTCTGTCTGTCTGTCTGTCCGTCTGTCCATCCATCCATCCATCCATCCATCCATGGAGCAGGTGCAAGTCAAGAATAGGTTTAAATAAATCCGTGCTCTGCATGTAATCTCATTTCTTTGTTTTCTGGAAACTTATTTATTTATTAAATTTATATGTGCCTGACCTCCAGTAACTCTTTTCACAAGTAAAAAACATTCTAATACTACAAATTGATTTTAGTAAATCTGCTTTGGTTTATTAAAAAAAGAAAAACTGGACTGTATTGAATGTTTGTTCAACTCACTTTTCTCCTGCCTTTTTCATTTACTATATGCACAAAAATCTTTTCAGAGATTCAGGATAGGGCCTCCTAAAGGTCAGGCTGTGTCATATGGAGCTACAGTGTGTGGAAGAAATCTCCCAAAGTCATGTAAAGGGGTCTTCTGCTAAAATAAAGCCTAGTTGTTTGAATCCACAAGTTTCTGTTCCTGTCTAAATCCATTTCACAGAAAGGCAAACTGTTAATGCTAAAAGACAAATAACTTGTCCAGTACCAATAGGAGAGAATATATGTAGCTCAAGGTTGAACTGGAGTCCTTGGCGTTCTCTGAGCTTGGTTGTTTTCTTGCAGACGTTTCATTACCCGGCTAGGTAACATTTTCAGTGCTAGAAGGGAGTGGGATTTGCTCTCTGTTTATGTATAATAGCTTGCCCTCCAAAACATCTTAAGTAC